GCGGGAGCGAGTGTGTGAGTCAGTGCGGGAGCGAGTGTGTGAGTCAGTGTGGGAGCGAGTGTGTGAGTCAGCGCAGGTGTCCGTGCGGGTGTCCGTGCCGGAGTGGGCGAGCCTGTCTGTCTGTCTGTCCCTGTGTGGGTTGGTATGCGTACACCCTGAAGTGCTGACGTTCGATTCAGGGAGCTCACAGGGCTCTCACCTTCTCACTTCGGAGCTCATGCATTTCCACAGAATGGTGTATAACCCCAGGAGAATGGCGATGAAGATTGCTGCAGCTGCAAAACCTAAAAAAGCAAATCGGCATAAAGCTCTTGATTTTCAAAGTCAAGTTAACGGGCGCCTGACATCTTGATTTTAAAAGTCTCATTCTGATCTTCAAACCCTTGTCCTCCCTCGCATGCCATGTGGCTATGCACCTCTCCAGTCTGGCTTCCCTCCCTTAAGACACTCCTGAAATCCGGGGCTCACAGTCATCGATCAAAAATTCTCTCGAAACCCGCTGTGAGGTGATATGGGGACAAGTTGCCACATTGAATTCAACCCGTGTTCGCATTCACAATGCAATTGACAAAACAACTCGAATTCGGGGCTGATAGAGACAGGAACAGGTCCAGTTCTAGCCCCCTCGCGCATTTAGAGAAGATAGAACTGTGGGCATCTTAGCGGGGGCTGTGGAATTAACTGGACTACTCTTCAAAAGGGGCTGGCACTGCCACCTTTTGGCGCTGTCCATTCTATTTCTGCTCACCGCTTTGAAAATCCCTGAATAATTTGATGAAACGCACAGGACTTGAACATGTAGAGAATGGGGTGGCGGAGGGGGAACACGGCTCGGAACATGGCTGATGACCTTCAACAAGCGAGTGCCCTGCCCTCTGGCGCACTTGGCACTGTTCGACCCAGGGTTGCTCAGTTGCTGGATTGCATTTGTTTGAGACTGGACCCGAACCCCGTCAAAATATTTTTCAGTGGGTCGCCTGGAACCCAAACTTTTTTCTTATTTTAAATCCAAGTGTCTGCACCAGATGCGACGGTCAAGCTACCCACAGTTAACCACAATTATAGTTAAAATACAACGAAAGAACTCGGAACACTGAACTCTATTGGAAAATTTTCACTGAGTAATAGGTACGGTAACTAATTAACAGTTCCAATAGCCCATAAACACAATCCCGTGGCAGGTTCAGGAAATAGATTCGTCTCACAGTAGTGGAGAGAAACCCCAGCGTCTGGCTATAACCCAGAGAGGGAAAAAGATGGCCTCCACTTCTGTAACACTCCAACAGCAACTGCTTAAAGCTGAACTTAGTTTCTAAGAAAGAACTAGAAACCCTGGCTCTGAGAGAGCTGGCAACACCCAGCCAGGCTGCTTGTATTATTTCAACTTTTGTAGAAAGACCTCCCCACTCCACAAAGGCTGTCTACTTTATGGGTCTTCACTAGCCAACGGGGTCCTAAAACCCTAGCTTCAAGCGACAAAACCAGGACAAAAGACACCTCTTCAAGAAACCACAGCATCGCCACACCTCCGACAAGCGGGCCTCTCGTTGCGGGGTAAAGGCGAGCTCGCGACGTCAAATTTCTCACCCGGTGCGACTCCGTTTTGTCTCGCCGGTGGCGATGCGTCAGCGGAATGGCGGATGGGCGGCGGCCTCTGGTCGACCGGGCGGGTCATCGCTCAAAGAAATGGAAAGCAGGAGGTGAGGTGAGATGAGGCGTCCAGTGAGGAGCGGCGTTGTTGAAGCTTAAAACCCAGCAACGGAGAGGGGGTTGGACCTACCGGGGGCTGACGGCTCGCGTCACTCAGAGCTGACCACGGCCTTGGTGAAGGACTTGCCTTGAGTAGACGGTGCAGCTTTGGTCTCATAGTCAATGGAAGGACACCCTTGCTATTGAGGGAGTCCAGGATGGCAGGACTGACATTTGGAGACGGGATTGACTGGGTTTGTACTTTTATCTTCTTTATTCTTTCACGGGATGAGGGCGTCGCTGGGTAGGCCCAGGGTTATTGCCCAGAAAGGGCAGTTATAAGTCAACCACATTGCTGTGTGGGTCTGGAGTCACATGTAGGCCCAGACCAGGTAAGGATGGCACTTTCCTTCCCTAAAGGACATGAGTGAACCAGATGGGGTTTCTCCCTGACAATCTGTAAGGGATTCATGGTTGTCATTAGATTCTTAGTTCCAGATATTTTTACCAAATTCAAATTCCACCAGCTGTGCCGTGGCGGGATTCGAACCCAGAACGTTATCGGAGTCTCTGGGTTAACAGTCCAGCGATAATACCACTAGGCCGTCACCTCCCCTCGCTGGAATGCAGAAGAATGAGAGGGGTGGGATTGCACAGAAACGTATAAAATCCTGATGGGACTGGGCTGGAAAAAAAATCCTCCCGATGTTGGGGGGAGTATCCAGAACTAGGGGTCACAGTCCAAGTAGAATTTGGGGGGGGGGGGTGGGGGAGTAATTTGGGACCAAGTTGAGGATGAACTTATTTTCTCAGAGAGCTGTGGGACTCTCTACCACTCTATATCCGTTAGATATATTCAAGGGGGACATTTAGGAGGATCGTCGGGAAACATACAGAAAATTCTCGCTCACGACACTCCCTCCCTCCCTCCCCCAACAAGACCACCCCCAAACCAACAACGAGAAGCTGAGCTGCCTCGCCTGGATTAAGAATGCCAACCCCCCCCCCCCCCAACCCAAGGGACATGGGCACCGGCCTTGGCGTGTGCCCCAGACCCTACCGGCCGCTCCGAAAGGCGGGCCACATCCGACGTTGCCAGGGCCGAGCAAGTCGGAAGGGCTGCTATCCCCCCGTCTCCCTCCGCAGAAGGGCCGAACGACCTCCGTCCGGTGCCACGAGCCCTCCTCTCCCACCCATCGTTGAGAGGCGGTGAGCTGGGAAGTGGGGGCGGTGGTTGGGGGAGGAGGTGGGGCGTGTTTTCAGCAGGGGTTTCCCGATTGGATACTTACTGTCGAGGGCATCATCCAATTCCGGGGGCACTGTGACATTCTAAGGAAACCAGACAAAAACACACTGAGTGCAAAAAAAAAACAGAGATGAAAAGAATTCAGACACGAAAAGATCCATGTTCCCCTCCATCGGCCACACAGTATCCTCCTGAATGCTCACTCTCTGAGCCGTTTAGCGACATTCCTGTCCTTCCGACTTCATGGGGTTTGCTTTGAACAAATGGACCGACCCTTATAAACACAAGGGGCTGGGAATCCTGCAGCAAGTAACTCCCTTCCTGCCTCCCCCACAAAGCCTGTCCCACCATCGACAAGGCACAAGTCAGGAGTGGGATGGAATACTCCCCACTTGCCCCGGATGGTGGGGGGCGGTGGGGAGGGTGCAGCTCTGACAATATTGGCGGACGCTGGAGGTCGGAAAAGAGAAGAGGGGCGGAGAAACTCAGCAGGGCCCTGGCGGCATCTGCCCAGGGGCAGGAAGCGGGGTTAACGCTTCCCGGGTTCGGTGACCCTTCTTCCGAACTGACACGGAGTCGGGAAGAAGTGGCATATGCGCAGAAGTATCGAGGAAGGATACTCCGGCTCTGGAGGTGGTGCAGAGGATGTTCACCAGGCTGATTCAGGAGATTTGGGGGGTTACCCTACAAGGGCAGGACAAGCTGCCTGGGACTTCGCTCGCTAGAACTTAGCAGAATGAGAGGGAGATCTTATAGAAACGTGTAAAATTATGAAAGGGATCAATAAGACAAAAGCAGGCAAGTTGCTTCCAGTGGTGGGAGAGACCAGGTCGAGGAGACAAGATTAACGGGGAGTAAGATTTAGGACAGAAATGGGAAGGAACTGCTTTTCCCAGAGACTGGTGAATCTATGGAACTCTCTGCCCAAGGAGGTGATTTCATTAAAATATAGAAGAGACAGTTGGATAGATTTTTGCATTGGGTAGAGGGATTAAGGGCGGCGATAATGCAGGTGGAAGGAGCTGAGACCACAGATAGATCAGCCATGATCTTATTGAATGGCAGAACAGGCTCAACAGGCCGAATGGCCTCCTCCTGCTTCTATCTCTTATGAACTTGTGAGTAGGAGGAAGTTATTACGAGGTGGGTATGGAGCCCAGAGAAAGAGACAGAGACAGAGAAAGGAGTGGACTGTGGTCGAGGGAGACACTGTAATGGGGACAGACAGCGAGTGGGGGAGTGCGGGAAAGTGCAGGAGAGTGCGGGAGAGTGCTGGAGAGCGGGAGAGTGCAGGAGAGTGCGG